ATTGAACAGATTAGCAATTCTAAGCATCGAACGTCAATTTTTACAAAGTCTTGATTACCGTAAAATAATAGAGGTTTTTGCTTCAAAAAAAATACACGAAAGCATTATTTTAGGTGATATTTGTAGCCTTGTAGGTTTTGGTTTGTATTTGTATTGATATTGTTTGATTATAATTTCTATTACATTTTTGTTTTAAAAAAATTATTCATGTTTTGTCTATTATACGATACAAGTATAGGAGCATAAAATTATTATCTCGCACATGATATTAAAACTCATTGGACCGGCCCTGTGTAGGTGGGAGGGAATCTGATGATGGCCTCACGCATTCCTTGGAAAACCTTACCGGCTTTCATCTCCGCCCTGATCTGATCCTTTTCTCTAAGCCAATCGAAGCATCTTTGAGAAACAAAGTCCCTGGCTTCATCATAAGATATACCAAAGAGGCGGTAGTTAAAATCGCCGCAAAAGACAACCATATCTGCTTCAGATAAATCAAGCTTTGTTTCTTCAGTGTTAACACCTGCAGGCTGTGGAAATGCAGTGGTACTTGTGATCTCGAAACAACTATGTAGAGAAGGTAAACTAAGATAGTTATAATAAAGATATTGAACTAAATCGAGTAGAGCGAGGCTATACATTATTGACCCGAACCGTTTGAACAGAAGCGGAGGCTCCAGCTGCAACACAGAGCACGAGTGGGAAGCCAGAAGAATAAAGCTTCCAAAATAAATATGTGGAGAACGCAAGAGAGCAACAGAAAAACAGTAATCGCACCATACCAGCTGCATTATTGAGCAGATTCGACGACGACAGGCTGAAGATCATATTTCGAAAGATATGATCAAAGTCAGCATTTCGCCGGTTTACTGCCTCCAAATGTGCAGCTAGGTGACAGTTAACAAAGCATATTAATCTTTCATACACTGATCCTCAAACCTACACCTCCCTGCACCATCATTACCCATTCTTAAATCTTCTATATACTCTCTGCAGGTGCAGAGACATCATTGCCTATGTTGTAAACCATGAAAATGAAAGTGATGAAAGTCGAAAACCTTATTGCCAAAAGCTCGACCGAAGCCACACGGAACTGCAGCCGCATCAATGCCCCCCGCATGCATTCTAATACTCTTCCTTACCCTATATATAGCAGATAAAGCTAGGTTCATTAAATGAAATGTGAAAAAAAAGCTATTTTGAGGTAATAGCTACTTACCAAAGAGAAATCAGTAATCCTGCAAGCTGCCTAGAGCCCATACGTTCAAATGTTGTGTTTTCATCTAAGGCCTTTCCAATTGTGTCAAGCCACCAATGACCAATAGAACTCCCTTCAAGTCCTACCTCCACTTATATACAAGAGGTTAACAATGAGGATTTTGTCATTATAGACATGATATCATATATTATATGATATTAAATAAATCTTACGGTTGCTTTAGCTGCAGACATTGCAAGGAAACCTGCGCCCATTTCCACTTCTTGTAAGCCAACAACTACAATGCCAACATCTGATACGACAGAACCCAACCATGACATAAGTGACTCGTGAGAGGCTCTTCCTTGACCAACATTCCACGTTCCAATAAGCATCCTTATTTTTGTCTTGTCTCGAGTAGATATGTTCTTTTCCTGCTAGTTCTTGTCGTAATATGCCATCGATTGGCCCCGGAGATGAGATGCTCCATCCTCGTATACCGCCGTGAGTAGCCAAGCTGAAGATGTAATCGTTTCCGGTTGCTAATTTTATGACAGGACCATTGTGAGCCATCCATCCTGCAACCAGGTTCCCTTCAAGATCCATCACCTGGACCGTCCCACTAACATAGCCTATATAAATCCGTGTTCCGAAAACACAAAAGCATTGTACTGCACAAGGGTGGTGGCTAACATCTTGCAACTGCGTTCCATTTCCATCCCACTGAACGAGTAGGCCATTTGTACATCCACTCCATATGTTCCCATCCGGAGCTAGTACTAGCGCTTCGGTCCTCTTATTGTCTTCTGCTAGGCATAAATGAACCGAACAAATACGAACGTGGTATGTTCATGTTTGTTTGTTTAACTTTAACCAAACAAATGAACGAACATAAATGAACAAAAAATTTCTTGTTCGTGTTCGTTCATTAAGGAACGTAGCTTGTTCGTGTTCGTTCATTTAAATGATAAACGAACACAAATGAACGAACATAAATGAACACAATAAACGAACGTAAACGAATACAATAAACGAACATAAACAAACATAAATGAAAATATATTTTTTCTTTCCTAACAATTTTAGTATTATACTTTATTTAATTGTTTGGGCTTTTTTATTTGTATTTAAAATTAATTGAATTTTAAAATATTTATGGGTATCAGATTAAAATTTATTAGGCTTTAATATTTTAAATGAGTCTAGAGAGATTGAGCTAAACATAAATGAACGCACATAAACGAACGAGCATAAACGAACGAACATAAATAAACGAACATAAATAAACGAACATATTATCGAACGTTCACAAAAACTAAATGAACGAACGAGCCCTCTGTTTGTGTTTGTTCATTTAATTAAACGAACACAAAATCTTGTCCATGTTCGTTCGTTTAATAAATAAATTAACATAAACGAACTTCTCGCTGAACGATTCATTGAACGTTCGGTTCGTTTACAGAACTATCTGCAAATGCCCCGGCCCCTCTAGTTGCTACTCTACGGACAGCATCTGCGGCTCCCATTATACCGTTGCGGGAGCGTTGCAAAAAGCCCCCGGATTTCTCCTTTTTTGTACCGGAAACAAATTTCACCTTCAACTCATCTTCTACGACAGTTTGTTGATCTTGCGGCGTCAACACGATTCTCAATCTGACCGTCGATATTAAACACTTTGAGAAGTTCCTTTGTGCAAGCGTCCCTACAGATCAAATAACTCATCAATAGAGTAGAAACCATGGAAATTGAAAAGCATGTTTATATATACATATCATAGGCCAAACGTACCAGAGAGAGAAGGAAAGAGGCTGAACACACCAAACTTTGGCTCTTACACGGTCGGAAACCAAGCACTTGATATCAGAGGAAGAAAGGTTACAGTTACCATTAAATTAACTTGACTCCTGAGATCAATGAATGCCCTCTCTACCAGTAAAGCAGCCATGTCTTTCTCCTCTGGTCTAAGAGAGAGATTTTTCAATGGATTCCCATGGCCAAATCTTTAATAACACCGCCTTCTCCACCTGACCACTAGTCACTTGCAGCAAAGCATTATGCTTAAAAGTTATCTTTGTAACATACAGGAGGAAGCTTAACCTGTTACTTAATATGATGATGGAAAGAACAGAACCGCGATGCGCCTGCCATGAAAATCCTTCCTTGAAAGGAGTAGCATCATCGGTACGAAGATCCATCTTCCACTACCTGATTTTTCCATCCTTGTGTCAACTCCAAACCAATTTATTTCTACCATCTACCAGCAAACAGATAGTAGGGGGAGTGTTGGCAGACTCTTGAAAAGGCGCAGTTGATAAGCATCCTCGAACCTCCAAAATCGAACCCCACTTTCTAGGCCTGCCCAAAGTTGTGTGTCGGTGCAAGCTATGTTCCTCAAGAACTTCCCTACTTGAGTCTCCATGAGAGGATAGGGCCTGAGCTCCAAGCAAGGTGGGCGCCTGGGGTGGGGTGGCATGCATAGGGACCTTGAAAATAACAGTGCCACCTCCGGAGCCAATGAACTCTGGCAGAGGCCGGAAATTGTGGGATTCATAGAAGGGAGAAGCACCTTCCAAGTAGAGGTTCTTGTCGAGCCTTTCCCTTTGAGAGTGACTAGTGATGATATATTCTTCACCGGAGGCATTGGGAGCATTATTAGAAGTGGAGTGGTTGAAGAACTCGTCATCCCCGAAGACTCGTCATTGTAGAACTGGTAAGTCGGCTTGGGGAAGTCGTCGAGGCTGTGTTTGCGGACTTGGTGGTGACGCTTGTGCGCAGAGTTGGCCCGTAGCTGCTGGCTATAGGAATAGATCTTGCGTTGGGGCGGGACGGAGTTGAGGCCGGCCATGACCTCTCTGTCCTTTTCGTCATCATGGATGTTATGTTCATCCATTATTACGAATAAACACGGAAATGTTAATGAAATGGATGTATTGCAAAAATGGTGATTAATTAACGAAAGATTAACGTATAAAACGTGGCTTTATTTAAAATACGAATTATAAAATCTAACCATAAACTTGGATATGACCACAAGCAACTTGAATATGGAACTTTTAACACAGATCAAAGTTTAAATGGTACGAAGTTTGTAATCTGTCAAAATAACTAAAATGGATAGAATTCTTTCTTGTTACAAAAGAAAAATATAAGATTTCACGTGTTGGAAAAAACAACTGTGATGCTATTTATAATTTATTAATAATAAGTTATATCATTTTACGGATAGATTTAATTTTTGTTTAAAATTGTGTTCTCCCAATCATACATATTCAACAATTCTCTTCATTAAAAAGTTTTAACCCTTCAACTCATTTCTTCTCCTCTATATATATAGGCTAGTTGAGACATAAATCTTAGAGAAACAAGTTACAACTTAGAACTTTGTAATAGGAAAAATATTTAGAAAATTCTTTCTAAATTCGTTATTTTCGGTGATAGAGAACTGCAAGATTATGCTAGACTGATCAGCGTTGTTGTATTTACTTTTTTGATCGTTTGTTGTTGTAACCTAGGACACCGACATCCAACGTTAATCAAAACACCAAGGAGATGGCGAACATGTCTTAAAGAAACTATTTATATAGCCGTCAACCAAAAAATTCTTCTGTTTATTTGATTCTACTCATTTGATTCCATGTCTAAATGTGAGTAAACAAGTTTTGTTTCTCTATTTTAATTTTGTATTAATTTTGTTTCGTTCAATTATAATATTTGCTTATTGTTATTATTTTATTTATCGATTAACATTTTATCTAATATAATGGACTTAAAAAAAGTACAATGAAAATATAGTATTAACAAGAACTATCATGTGTAAGTCTTACAATTCAGATGAAGTTTGTGAATGAAATTAATTGCCTTGATCTTGAGCTCAAACACCTTTTTGCATTGCTCCTCGATTAGCCAACGACCGTCGTCACAATTCATAGGGAGGGGTTGCCTACAGCTCTTTTCCATCTTCCAAGCTTCTCTTTTCCCTGTTGAAGGAACTAGTATATAGTGATCCTTTTATATATGGTTCACAAATACAGTTAATTAAATCACTAGCCCTATATTAATGGCTATCATAGTACATACAAGTCCAGAAAAGCCAGTGAAAATTACAAGAAATAACACTCAAGGAGATCAGTCTGACAAGAACCTAGTACTGAAGCAAGTTAACACTGAGTCTTTGGCCACAAGTATTATACTTTTGAGTTCCTTAATAGTATAAAATATATTCATTCTTCTCTTCTATTTACCGATGAAGGCATCAAATATAACCAAGACTAGAAATCTATATTCACCGAAAATACTAATCAATATATATGTATAAAACACATTAGTTTTACACAGATTTAAAATCATTAGATAAGTGAAAATAAATGACTAAGATTGACTCATTGTTTTTTTTCCAATGAATATATTTTCATTTCCTACTGTTAATCTCAGTCTTATGCTCTCATTCAATGATCCTAAATATGTGTAAAACTAAAAGAATTTTACATTGTGTAACAAGATCCTATCTCTATATATATATATCCACTAGAAATTGGTGGGGCTCCGATAATAAGTCTGTCACAACCCGCTGACCTACAAGGTATTCTCATTTCCCTGGGCGCTCGCATTGAGCTGGGGTCAAGCCTTGATATTATCTTCTTTTAATGTCTACGAGTTTCTTAAAGTTCGATAGATGCAGAAAATGTAAAATTACTTTTAAAAATAAAAGTTTTCAAATGTGACATTACTTGACATATTATTGAAAATGATATATTATTTAGAAACAAAAATTTTATCAAATTGTTCTTGTGATATATTTTCTTTTTAACAACTTAAAAACTTATAATATCAAATTAAAAATATTTACATAAAAATCAAAGAATTGTTTTTGTTACATTAATCTAATTTTTAAATATATATATATATATATTTAACATATTGTTTATATAATTAGTATATTAAATAATGTTTAAAAATTCATATAATTAAATATCTTATATTTACTTTTGTCATAGTATGTAATATAACTTTAAGTGTCTATGTCAATAATCTCTAGAGCATGTGGTTAAAAAATTTTAGTTGACACCTATTCTTTCCCCTAGATTGTATCTATTAGAAGCAAAATTCCCCTTCCCCTCTCCTAGGCCGAATTTGTTAAAAAAAATCTTTAAGTGTCTATAATAATGTTGTTTTTCAACTTCTGGAGAATCCAGAATTAAGATAATTCCAAAATATTGAGTTTTAACATGTTTATTACTGAATCGAATTTGAGTAACTTATAGTAATTTCATTATAATAAGCTTGCAAGGCAAACTCTCTTATAAATAAACTCAAATTTGAATAAAGTTTACATTATCTCAATCAAATTTATAGTATGAGCTAGAAATGTAGATAATTTGTTTAAAAATATTGATATTAACACAATATTGATAAAAATATATTAAGTATTAGAGCGAACTACACATTTAATATCCCAACTATCATTTTTATTTTGTTTCAATCACCTAACTATTTATCTCAAAACCATATCTAACATTATGTTTTGGTTTCATTTTAATCACCCAACATTCAAAAATTAACAACACTGCTAATGTGATTTTTTATTTTTTTCGACGATGATGTAACATTATCTTATGATGACACATCAACATCATCATTAATTTTTTAAAGGCAAATGATCAAAATGAAACCAAAACTAAGTTAAGTATGAAATAAAAATATTTAATAAATTTACACCACAAATAATTAGTTATCTAGTTAAAAATATGCAATACATGAACCAATATGAACAAAACATGTTATTTCAAGGGAAATTTTATCTAAAATGACAAGAATTGACAAATACATAAGGAATGCATGGAAATGACGTTCTCGTAATCTTGCCAAAAAAATATTGTTTGTAATAATTTTTTCTATCTAGTGGGAATGATGACAAACCAAACATGAGAATGAGATTTCAAAAAAAAGATAATTATCCATAATAATGTTTTTTTGGAACTAAACACCCCTTTAAAGATTTATCATGGGAACACGCGCCATCCTAGGTTCAAACCCAAGACCTCAGATAGGGGTCTATTTCACAACGTTGGTCCCATTTGATCTAATACGAAGAACTCGCGTTAGAATCTAATGATGTGCATATTTGTGTGACAAATTCTTGAGGAACCACATGGCATCCATGTAGAAATTAGTTAAGAGAACTGTTGATTAGTTGTAATAATTAGTAAGTTGTTGATTAGTTAATTGTTAGTTAATGAGTTAGAAAGCTATTTAATCACATATATATAAGTAAATCTTAGCGTAAGTTAATCAACATGTAAGATAATGATAAATCCATGAATGTGTTTTGTTGCGTCTGTATCTATTGGAACAGATCAAGAAGAAAAAATCAACCGGTCTACAAGAAGACTAGTGAGCAGTAGCCTTAAGTGTATACTTTATAATGGCATTGCATGAGGATATCTTATATATACTGTTGAACAATCTAACTGGTTTGCTCCTTTTTTGGCATTGTGATATTTAGTTCACGTTATTGAAAGTCCAATTACAGCTTCATACGAGGTACAAATATAGCTTTTGCAACCTCAGACTGACAAGTTTATCGACTCAAAAGCAAAAACAAGCTAAGAAGTTAGCATACCTTTCTAGTTTCGATGGCCAATTCATTGTCTACAACAGATATTGCCTTAAAGCCCATTGGATGCAACACCTTTTCATAGCTGCATGGTTACAAAGTTCCATCAGACAGAGATGGATCATTCTCATATCAGCAGATATACATCTCCTCCCTATTTGATCAAATTTTACTAGCAATGGCGCGGAAACAGGATTAGAAAATACTTCTAAGTTTTAACATAATCTAGATAAAAGCAGAAAAAGAGGTGGCAGAAAACTACTCTTCAATTGATACTTTATAAGGAGGTCCACCAGCATGATCATCAATCTGCATTAAGAAATTAGTAGAGTAGTAAAATCACACTTCAGTTACCATAAATTGTGTAGAATGTTTTTTTTTTGTAACCATAGCTACGTATAATTGGTGAAGAACTGAACGGAAGAAATAATAAAACCACAAAAATTATTACTGGAAACATCAATGTAATAAGCTCTCCGTCCGGTTTTAAAAGGTTTTGGATTTGCTGTGCCCACGCTGATCTCATATCTGGCTGAATGGCACAAAAAAACCTGCAAATTCATAAGATTATGATGAAAAAGAGATTTTCCTAGTGGGATAACTGCCCCTTAGAGATAACTTACGTGTAATCAAAAACAAGATCAAACAAATCTGTTGGGCGCCAGGAGAAAAAATCTTCCTTCAAGAAAGTAGAATGATCTACATTCGGTGATGAGGAAGACATCTATATCGACAACCAAACATACCATTAGAATAAGCAATGCCTCAGAAAGACTAAAACAAGCAAAAATACCTAAAATCGGTGCTACCGATACTATTCTAAGAATCTTGTTAAAGTGGGAGGAGTTTAACCTGCTTTGCTTTCTTTATGGCCTCCTCTGATATGTCCAGCCCAACAACATGCCGTCCAGTACATGCCATTGCCACCACATCATATCCCTGCATGTTTTGAGCAGTACTTTTATCCCTGTTTAAGTCCACATGATGATAGCTATTGCCATTGCCAATTTGAATAGTGCATGAAGCTGTTTTCTTTTAACAATTAAGGCATACTGCAGAGAATCACAACTTACAGTGCCACATCCAGGGACGAGAGCCCTGCCCATGGGGAGCGATCCCGTGTTATGCAGATGTAAAACAACAGGCGTGGGGCTGCCTAAATCCCAAGGGGTGACTCCCAGCTTCCAGGACTCTTCCCATCCAGCTAAAGATTAAGTGGAAAGATAATCATGACATGGTGTGTGAGTTGTCATCGTCCCAAATGAAAAAATTTCATACGAATTTCACAGAATACCAAGAGAATAATATTAAAAAAAAAACTGATACAGCAGAACTAGTATAACATATAAGCAAAACCCCCATACAGCAGAACTAGTATAACATATAAGCAAAAGCCATACATCAAAACTAGTATAACATATAAGCGAAACCCTTAATTGCTTTAGAAAAGAAAGAACATCTATTAACTATACAACAATAACCAAAGTGAAAAATGAAACAAACGGAAAACTGGGAAACAGCGATCTGGGAGTGATTGTTGGGAGTTTAAAGGAGAATTACTAGATGGGTTTGCATTAAGGAGTTGTTGGACATTTTGTACGAGAGTGTTGGATTCAAAGCTGGTGTTAGTAGTGCGGCATTGGTTGTCCATGGCAAGGGTTGCTCCGAGCGGGGTGGATGGCGCTGCCTGATTACGAATCCGGAGGGCGAACAATAACGACCTGCTCCAAGTCAACTCCAGAAAACAGGTGGGCGTGTTTGCGTTTGAGGGTTTTTTCTGTGGTAAAAAAAGTCTCCAAATAATATTCTAGATTTTAAACTAATCCTAAAACAGAGCGCTTAATTAAATTTTAAAGTATAAAATTAATGTGTAAAGTATGCAAATGGTCCCAAATATAGAGTGTTACTTTTTTGAGTACTTCGATTATTAAAAGTTAACAAATAATCTATTGACTATAAGATATTGTTTTGTTGAGTTCCGACTATTAACAGTTACAAAATGGTTACTCGACTATTCATATGTTCTAAATTCGTCATTTTTTTGTTAAAAATTGGCGGTTGTCTGAGTTGGATGTTAATATGTTGATTGTGATATGATAAAATATGATCTCAAAATCGTTTGAGTTATATTTTATGGATTGATTTTCCATTTACATTATGTCATCGAGTCAGTGTTTGAAATATTATGTCATCGAGTCAGTGCTTGAAAGTAACGACAATGTGAGTAGACATCATTAAAATATGATTTTGTCATATCCTAATCAACATATTAACGTTAAGCTCATCTTACATTTTGAATGTTCCATATTAAATTTGAACTAAAATTTTAACACCGCATCTTTCATTAAACTAACGAGAGGATTTGGTTAATAATATTAGGAATGGTTGAAATATTTGAATTTAACATGTTTTGATTTGATCTAATCTTATAGAATATCTTTTTCTTAATTAAAATTAGAGAAGGTTGGATAGATTTTATGAAGGAGATTCGGCTTAAAACCGAAACGAGTTTAGGATAAAAAATCATAACCTACCCTGACTCAAATAATTATTATGTAAAATTGGATAGTTCTGGAAACTAGAGGGACAAAATTAGATATTTAACCCATTTTTATAGACTTAAATACATTTTAGTCCACATAAATTTATTTATTATAATAATATTTGTTTAAATTAAAATTTAAGAGTTTAAAATTAAAGATTCTTAATTATTTGATAATGAATGTTCAAACGCTCTTATAGATGTATTTAGTTTTCGAGACCTCTAGAGATAACAATCAACACTAATGTCACTTAGTTCGTGCGATTTTAATGCTTTAAGATTAAAGATTTAAATAAACATAATTATTAGGGGTGTTCAAATTAATTTGTTACCATTAACCGTAACTGTTAATCAGTGTAACTGTTATTTTTATAGGTTAATTAACCGAACTATTAAGGTTTAACGATTTCTATTAACCGGACCGTTAAAAGTGTCTGTTAATGGTTATGGTTACAGTTATGAATTTTGATAAATGATTAATCATCAGTTAACCGTTAATAAATTATAATTATTATATTTTTTAATAATAAAATTATAAATAAGGATTTGTTCGATTTTTAATAAAAATAATTCTGTTAAGAAAAAAAATGAATATTTAGATCTGGTCCATACCTTAAAGTCCGATTAGAAATAAGGCATCGACACTTTAAATTAAACATACCAGATGTAGAAATTTTCTTTTCTTTCCGTATAGACTTCGAATCATTTGTATGCCTTGCAGAAATCGAAGTCGTTCTAAATTGTTTGAAAATATACTGCTGTATAACGAGACATTAGTATTGACTGGATAATAATAAAATAAATAAGAAATAGATTAATCATGTTGTGGTATTAATTGTTACCTTAGAAACGAATTCGTCGTGATGTATGTAATTCCTATATGGGTAAATGACCTCCCTGAAATTAACTCGGTTCTCTCGTACACTCAAAAAATGAAATGTACTTAGGTGGTACTACTATTCTCTAAGAAAGAAAACTTCGAAGAAATTAAAGAGTTTTTGAGCGTGAAAAAAAATTAAAGAGACAATTCAATATTTTTTTAAATAATAAAAGGTTAAAATAAGCTTTCTCTTTATATAAAGTATGGATAAAATAGTAAAAAATTCAATAACAGTTACAAAATAATTAGTTAACATAAATGTTATTTTAATTATGATAAACATTATTTTGTAACAGCTAGAATCGTAAAATGTAAATCTTGATCAATAATATTTTATTATGAGGATATTGTCTATAAAAAAAAAGCACACACGATACGAGACCACGCTAAGAGATTCCTACCCAATGTGATTTTTTTTGTATTACGAAGAGTGCGAGCAAGTTGTTCCACGTGACAACCATGGAGACAACGACAGGTGCAGGGTCTATCTTTTGAATTATTGCTTCACAATTTGGATGGGACGTCTATCTTTTGTGCAGTCTGATCTTCTATTCTTTGCATGTAGGATCAAGTTCGAAAGAAAAAGAGGTCGAAGCTTTGATTCCATGTAAAGCCCATAGGGTTATCCGAATATAAAGAGAAGGCACTAAAAGCTCTTGAGTTAGAATTGAAGGCCATCATAGAGAAAACTAAGATTTAACGTCAAACCGCTGATATAATACACAAGTTGTTGATTTAATTTCAAGTTTCTAATTTAATAAACTTTAGTTCAAAAAATTTTGAAATTTCAATATTTGTCCCAAAAAAATAAACTTAAAACATTGAAACTGGAAAAGCAACAACTTTCATATAATGCAAGGACTAATATCAGAACTTTACAACTAATTTGAACCAAGATCGAAGTTTTAGAATCTGAAAAGACAAGAATTAAGAATATCAAATATGAACTAATACCACAACTTTTGTATAATTGGAGAACTAACAAGATTGAGAGATGAATATTCCACTGAACCAAATGAGTTGCAACAGCAAGCACGATCACGTAATAACCATTTGTCATCAGAATCGGATTACAGAACTAGTGCATTTGCTCTCTTCACAAACAAATAAGAATATAACCAACTATTATTAGCAATCAAAATTGATTACAAAACATCAACACACTGGTGTAGTGGAGACGCCATAACTCTTTTACCTAAGTAACTTGTACGCTATCTTGGACACTTTTACTACTGATCCTCCCCATCTGAGCCATCAACAGCTCGTGCACCTTCTTTGTCAGCTGCATCGGAGAATCATCGCAAACAAAACTGACTGTAAATCAGTGACAACTTTGATAAGCAGCACAAATATTTACAGACACTTGATGTTCAAATCTAACAACTTGGCTTAGAATACTATGCAAGAACATTGAAGACCGTTAGAGCTGATGAATTGGGTTTCATATTCTCTAGTGTCTGTAAACTACTTCCTAGGACTCTAACAGAATCTCATCACCTTTTTCTTTTCTTTTTTTGTAAACTTAGCTCGAAACATTCGCTTCCTGATTTGTAATGGCAAAATGAAATTGTAGGATATAAAAAGCAATGCTCCATTTTATGCAAACATTTTTTTATAGGAATAGGAGGTCTCATTAAAAAACTCCCTCTTAGTCAACCTTACCCCTAAGGTAAGACCCAACTAGCGGAAGGAGGAAAAGAGTACCTCCATTTATTAATGATAGCCAAGTTACATAAGACTTAAAAACACTTTTACATACAATATAAGACCTCACACACTCCTCTAGCTTCTTAGCTCAGAAACAAACACCAACTGAAACAGACAAAATCGTCACCCAATCCCCTCTTTTGCTAGCTTGTCAGCCTCACAATTACAAGACCTTGGAATCCACCTAACAATAAAATTTCTAAAAGAAACAATAGATACAATTTCTTTAACAAAGTTTGAAAGGAAAACAAGAACCAAAGCTTGGTCTTTGATCCAATCCACTACAAGCTTGCAATCACTTTCAATAATGAGTCTGCCCTTCAACAACCATTCTGAAGAAACAAAGATACCAATGCCTCTTTTAATAGCTTTCAGCTATGCTAAATAGGGATGAGAAGGACCAACATTTTCTGAAAAAGATATAAGTGTAACCCGATTCCAATCCCTGAGAAGACCCCCTATTCCAGCAACTCTCCCAACTCTACTAAAAACCCCATCCACATTCATCTACTGGAGGAGGAATCCACCAGCACACAGGTCTGAGTAGTTCATTAGAAGCAGAGATACTATCTGCCAAGGAAGGATCACCAATTAGAGAATCCACCTTAATAGAGGAAAGAGGATATTTTGCTAGAAACCATCTTGCTAGCCTTAACCGAACAATGAAAAGCAATGAAAGTCTGTCTAAATTGCCATTATCAAAGGTAATTTCATTTCTAATTCTCCAAATTGACCATAACACTACACCCGGAATAAACTTCCAGATAACCGAAGTAGGCCTCAAATCAGACCAAGAACTAAGTAAGGATGGAGGGTCAAGTGGAAAAGCTAGACTAATACCCCAATAACAAATTAGTTTATTCCACAGCTCCCACGAAACTTGACAGAACAAAAAAAGATGCTGGACTGATTCATCGCAAAGGTTGCATAAAGGGCAGAGAGTATTCTCCCCTATAGGAACCCCCCTTTTCATCAATTCCATTCTAACAACAACTTTTTGATGAGATAACTGCCAAAGGAAAGTCTCCACTCTAGGAGGGACTAACCCCAACCAAACATAGTTTCTCCACTGATATGTATCCTCATAAACAGACTCTAGAGATTTCCTGCACTCTTTGACAGAAAACAACCCCTCCCCCAAGCCATCCCACAGCAAACAATCCTCTAAAGACTCAATCAATTTAATGTCTTTAAGGCTATTCAATAACTCAACCAACTGCAACACTTCCCAATCACATAGATTCCTCCTCGTTTTAATATTCCACTCCCATCCATTCAAGTCAAAACTTCCAAAATCAGCCACATTGCCACCTTTGTTAGTAGAAAGTGCAAAAATCCTAGGAAAAAGTATTTTTAATGGACAATCCCCAAGCCAAGTATCTTTCCAAAAAGAGAGATTTTCCATTCGCTATTTGTATTTTTGCATGAGATCTAAGGCAACCTCCAATGAAGTCATTCTTTGAGAAGTTATTGACAATTCCCCTCCAAATCCACGAGTCTTTTTGAGAGAGGGCCTTAGTGATATTCAAGGAATGACAACTCACATTATGTTTACTACAAAAGAATTTCTTTCATATCGAATCTTTCTCATTTGCAAACTTCCATACCCACTTCTCCAACAACGCTCGATCGGTAAGATTCAAATCAACAACTCCTAAGCCTCCACCACTCAACGGCTTACAAATCTTTTTCCAACTAACCCAATGCATTCTCTTCTTCTCGCCCCTTCCACCCCATAGAAAATTCGACATCAAAGAATTTAACTATTGAGAAATAGTAGATGGCATCTTGAAAATAGATAGGTAAAAAATGGGTAAAGATGAAAGTACCGACTTAATAAGCACCAATCTACCAGCCATGGATAAAGATAAAGCTTTCTACCTCGCCAATTTTCTACTAAAATTCTCTATGACCGGCTCCCACAACTTCTTTGAATTCTTTTTTGCCCCCAATGGAAGGCCTAAATAAACTGTCGGGAAAGAGCCAATTGAACAACCAATATCCCTCGCCCATTCTTCAAGTAAGTCATTCTCCATATTAATACCATAAAGTTTACTTTTGGCTAAATTGAGATGGAGTCCCGTCATTAGGCTAAAAAATCCTCAAAACTCTTCTAACATTCTTGATCTGAGTAATAGAGGCTCGACAGAATATAATTAGATCGTTCGCAAACTGAAGGTGTGATAAATTAAAGGAATTTTGATCATTGCCGAACGAAAACCCTTGAAACAGTCCCAAATCCACTGCTTTTGTCAACATCTTGTGAAGTAATTCCCCAACATCATTGAACAGAATAGGAGAGAGGCTACATCCTTGCCTTAATACTTTAACAATAAGAAATTTTTTTGTAGGGGACCTATTGAGTAGGACCGATATAGAAGTTGTGGAAATACACTGTGTGATCCAAGAACACCACCTATCACCAAAACCCATCTCTTTCATTAACCTTATAACCAATCTTCCATTCCACTGTGTCATACGCTCTGCTGAAGTCTACTTTAAAGACAACCCCTTTAAGCCCTTGTTTCCTCCAACTATCAAATCCTTCATTGGCCACACAAGCACATTCCAACAATTGTCTCCCCGGAATAAATGCAAACTGATTAGGACTAATAATATCTTTGACACAAGAAATAAGTCTCTTTGAAAGCACTTTTGATAGAATTTTATATAGGCTGCCCACAAGACTAATGGGTCTATAGTCTTCTATACTCTCCGGATTACCTTTCTTTGGGATCAAGGTAATAAAAGCGTGATTAACCCCGTGTACCCACTCCTTTCCTTCAAAGAAATCTGAAAAAAAACTCCATAATCTGCTCCTTCAAATGTTTCCAGTATTTCTTATAAAAACCCATGGTAAAACCATCCGGACCGAGAGCTCTATCAGAAGAAGAAATTGCATTCCACACTTCTTGCTCTGTAAATTCCTCCTCCATATAAGGCCTTTGAGCTGCTGATATTTTCATAAAATCAAACTCTAGGCCCTCAACCTCTAAAGCTGCTTTTGTGTTGTAGGCAGTCTTGAAAAACTCATAAACACTGTTTTTTATCTTAACTGGATCCGAAATTACCACCCCTTCAATTTTCAGAGAATGAATAGAATTGACACTATTTCTTTTCATAGCACTAAGGTGAAAAACCCTTGTATTTTTTGTCTCCGTTTATGATCCATCTATTTCTTGAATTCTGCCACCAAATGCTTTCCTCGATCCTTAACAATCTCCACAGCTCATTTTTGAATTCAATCAACTGATCCCATTCCCCCGTAGACAACATTCCACCTTGTGACTTTAAATCCAAGTCGTTTATTTTCACTTCAAGCAGCAAAATGACTGCTGCCAGCCCTAAATGACTGCTGCCATGCCAATTTCTGATCATCTTCTTCGCATTTTTGTAACAGCCTGAAAATCCCCCCTCCATTCCTCTTCTTCTTCTCATCAACCATACAACCTTCAACCAAATCATCAAACCCTTTCTCCTCTAACAGAAAATTAAAGAACCTAAAGGGTTTGGGGCCCCAATTGTGACTAACATCCTCCAGCAAGAACAAATTATTATCTGAAATTGATTTTGGTAAAAGGCATTGTGAAATCCTAGGAAAGATGTTCAAAAATCTGCCACAAATTAGAAATCGATCTAGTCAAGATACACATTAAAATCACCCACAATACAAACTGGCAAATTCAACAAATTAACAAAACTCAGCAACTCCTCAAAGAATTCCTCCTTTTCAGCTTCAATAACAGGTCCATAGATATTAATGAAGACAAACTCCTTTTGGCCATTCAAAAAATTCCCCACTAATGCGATAAACCTACTATGAACATGCTGGTTAGTAACATTGAAAATGTTTTCATTCAACATACTAATCAATCCACCCTTAGACCCTTGTGCAGGAGAAACCATCACCCTTCAGCAAATTTCCTCCAATCCTCCTTATAATCGACGCATGACAGTGATCAAGTTTAGATTCTTGAATAAAAATCAAAACAGGTTTGAACTTCTTAACTTGCCTTGCAACTGCTACAGATTTTTCCCTCCTTCCTAAACCTCTAATGTTCCAAGTAAGGATACTAAACTTCTGCATATACTGACTTCAAACCCAACCACCAAAAATATACCCTGCAAACCAGCATATCACCCTTCCCTTCCTACCTCCAAACCATTTTCAAGACTCACAATTTTATCAATAAAAGCCTTCTTCCCTTCCTTGAAAGAAATACCTAACATCTGACACACTTCCCATGTGGCTATTGCTTCCTCAAACAACTTCGAGAAATGAGATGAAGCAGTAGAAATATTAACCATTTCCAAAGCTTCACTGATTAGAGCTCTTCTCTTCCTTCTTTTATTAAATCGTGTCCCTGAAGCAGTATAAGAAGCTGCTGCCAGACTCTCTGAATGATTGCTACAAATTAATGGGACATTAGGTGTCTTCTGAACATCTATTGAACAATTGATATCCTTTTCCTGTCCAACTCCCCTATATTCTGAAGAACTCTGCTGAAAATATCTGCTTTCGTTTACCTTCTGTCCTTGTTTCGGATTAACCTCTGAACAAAATAATTTTGTTTCGTTATTTGCACCTAACCAAATTCGTCTATTCTTGACCTTCTATAGACCCTAGCATATCGACCTCTTTCTCTCCTACCACCAGGTGCACTTCTAATTGACAGACATGCATAAACTGAATGTCCCATTTTCCAACTTTTAGAGCTCTTCATAGATCCTTCATTAATTTCCTCCTGCCTGAAACTTTCTTATGCTATCTTACCACGATTAGTAAATTCACCACCCTAGCCTTCCTCATTATCCTCTTCTATAATATTGCAACTATCATCCTCCATTAATTCATAAAGAGACTGGAACTTGTTTTGCTTATCTAGCCCATCCCACTTAATTTTAACAGCAGGCCCAGCTGGAATTACTTTAGAGACTGGTGAAGATGATTCCCCATTAGAATCAGATTGGGCTGAATGTAATTGATCCACTTCCTTTCGCAACCCAAGCCCCGCATAATCTCTATAGGAATTAGACTCAAATTCAAATTCAAAAAGGTCTGACAACCCATTAATTATAGGTTTCGTGTGGGACTTATGTTTCAGAGATTGTTCCCCGCCACCTTCTAACCTCCCACTTTCTTGTCCCTGCTATAGCCACATGTCCACCTTTGACCATACTTCCTCTGCTGACTTCTCCCACTTGTCTTCTTCCTTCTCTGAGCTAGCTCCTTCATCCTCCTTCGAAAAATCATCACTGTTCCCATCAACAGAATACTTCTACAACTCATCTCCGGTTCCAGCTTGGAATTTGTTACACTTCGGTCCCATATTGATTTTGACTTTAAAAGATCTTCCATATGACCCTACATAAGTATATTCGGGTATATCAAAAGGACTTGCTACCCTTAACAGTAATCTCGCTGATGAAAGATCATCTCTATTCTTTGTCTCCTCCATGATACTCACGAGCTCTCCCCACCTTCTTGCAAGTTTCTCCAGAAAAGGTACAGACCAGCTAAGAAATGGTAGCCCCATCAACTCTACCAAGCAGTACGCCAATGGAATTGCTTCGTTCAACAATGGAGATAACCACTTAAACCACTTAAACCAGAGGAACAACTTCTCTCTAATGTTCGACCAAACCTTTAAGAAATCTTCATTAGAACTGAATATAACGATATAAGCATTCCTAACGTATCCCCATCTTACTATTTTGACCTCATAACCCTCCTTCGCCAGAGCCTTTTTCACCATATCAGACTGAAGAGGATATTTTAAAACCCCTGTTAAAGAATTCTTCACCCAGCTTGAATCTTCAGAAGGAATGTGCATTTCCCATACGTTCCTTAACCCATTTGCTTTCAAATTTTGTCCTCCTTTAATTCCCGCCCTGTCATGCTCCGCTCTTTCCTCCACATTCACCACCTCCTTATACGTTCTACCATCCCTCAGGCTACTCGGCTTTTCCATAACCTCCTGCTGCCTACCTTCCTCCCCTCTCACTTGCTTATTACCTTCCACCTGGAACTTTTTGTCATCAGTTGCTCTTCTCCTTTCCTTCTTATACTTTGCAACCCCAACTGAGACTCTCTTCCCATCTATCAGCATTCCATTGACATTCTGAATCGCTCTTCTACAACCTTCCTCCATCGCATATTGCACAAAGGCGAACGTTGATGACTTATAATTTGGTTTCACTATAAAACTTGGAATAAAAACCCTTAACACACGAGCATAAATATTGAAGCTCTCTCTTAACTCTCTTCTAGTAACTCTCTTACTAAGATTGTCTACGAAAACAGTCCATTCCTTATCGGAAGATGAACGACCTGTCACAAACTCTCTATTTCTCTCTCTGCCTTTCTCACTCATTTTTTACTTCTTGATATTGTTAGAGATCAATAATGTCAAATTTAGCAAGATCAAACAAAGGTACTGCCTAATTATATTTTAACAACCTTAGTATTTGTTGTATTGTTATTGCATGCATGATACATCTCCCTGTGATTGTTTCAGTAATTTATCTCCATTTCCTAAAGCACTGATTGATCGAGTATTTTGCTTTTTCTCCATTTTATGCAAACATGACTAGTAAGGAAGATTCAAGGAAGTAACCTCATTGACTCCCTCTTCATTTTTTACCGATACACGGATTGCACCTTCAGGGCCTATTTTACGATACTTGGCCAATTCAAGATGATCAGCTTCCCCATCTTCTGTGATGAAGACTACAGGAGATTCTTTCAACAGATCACATTTTGAGATAACATCAAGCCATAGATGATCGCCGAACCTTTTACTGATCTCTTTGTATACCATGAACTGCATACGGTAGTGTAAAAATATAACCATAATGTTGAAAGGTCTGAAATACAAACTTAGGAGGACTTCATTGTCCCTCGAGCAAACATAAATTTTGATATCTACACAATTCAGTGTAAACATTTTAAATCTCAGATTTTACATTGGCATAACTTCTTTTCTCATACCTGATCAGACGGCGACATACCACACTCTCCTGATAAATCATGAACATAAAGAATTGCTGTTGGCAAATGTGAGAGCACAGCAAGTGTTAACATTTCCAAATTGTTCCTGTCTTCTGCAATGGGGTAGGGAAGAGGACAGTTAAAAGATCACCTCCGACATAAAAGAACTGCAGATATCATGTTGATGAGAATATTTAGTGTTGGGCTTAAAAGACAGGAGTCAGCCTGTTTACCAGTCAACTAGCATCTAACAAAAGTGTTGGGTGTCTTGAAAACACTTTTGGACATTAGGTTTGGTACATGACTTCGGATTCTATAAACAAATAGCATTAATTGCTTTGCAACAAAAACAAGAATTTTAAAGAACGATGCAGTCACTACCAAAAAATAGTTATAATAAAACCTTTCTTGTCTCAACCTTTTGGACACTAGGTTTGGTACATGTTTCTGAATTCTTTACCCAATCAACTCAGGATTTTATATATAATCTCATCAACTCAATCTGAACTTAACAATCAAAGTCACAAAGGCATTTTGAAGCCTTGAAAAATGTGGTCAAATTTTAACAATCAAAGAAGCCCCTTCAAAACCACTTGCATGCACACTGGTAACTGCCTGCCTAGTTCGCGTGTGCACAGTGATAGCAAGAATTAACAGAGATGGAGAAATGCTGGCCAAGATAATTCTTCAGAATGTATGAAATCAATAAATGAGAAAAAAGAACCTAATGAGTTTCAAGATTCATTACCATCACATCTCTTCAACAAGCCTGGGGTGTCAGTCACCTGGAATGGGATTTTAAGGGAATTATGAAAGGTACAAGCTCATAGCACACAAAATCTTATAAAAGAACTCACCTGAAAATGCTGGTAGTCTATAGCAATATGACCCATCAGAATTCCTCTTGTAGTAAAAGGATAGTTGCACACCTAAGATGGATGAAAAAGGTCACAAAAAATAAACGGAAAATCGTATATAATAATAGTGTTTCAGTACCAATGGTACTTGATTGTATATTGATTTTATATAAACCCCAGACAGTTATCCTCCTTGGTTTGTTTAATTCTTTCCAGTTTCCACCAGGCAAAACCAGACTATGCTTGGTATATCACCTATTTCAAATGTAAAGAGACCAAAGGCTACCGTTTAAACCTGTACAAAACTTCTTTTCTAACTTACATCTCACAGCTTTCTGAAATCCCCAAAACAAGTTCAGAAAATTCACAACCAGTCACACATCCAACTTAAATTTCATAAAAAAATAGCAAATTTATAGATTTATGCCCGAAAATATACAAAACTAAGCAATAATAGTACAAAACATGAGAGAAAATAAAGACCATACATACTTGAGGATAGATCGCAAGAAATACCAGGCAAAGAAAAGGAAAGGAAAAAAGCAAAACATTAGCATGGCTCTGTGAGAACTAGACAAAGAAGGGAGGTCCTCCGGCATGGTATTTGGAAACATGTTAATCAGAAGACTACCCTCTCTTAGAATCCATATAGAAAATTTTAGTCACTAGTATGGTATTTGGCATGGCATGTCAACCATTGAGTGAAACCATTTAATCAGACTCAGTGACTTACTTGTCAGTCTAGCTCTTAAAGTATTGAAGAGAACATGTAGATAGATATCATAAATTATCAAACCCATTTATTAGCATTATTCCCTCTAGGCTCTGTTTTCTTTTTCCTCCAGTTAGGACTTTAGCCTTTTTTTATATATAAATCACGTATATTAATTTATTTGGACAGACAAATAATTTTAACTTTTAGGAGACCACAACATCAAAGGCACTCAGATTACCATTACCAATCCAATGAACACAGTGAACACAATAAGATACTCAGCTAAGTAAATATCTTTCGAACCAAAAATTGCAAGTAGTGGAGCAAACCTCAGGCTTTCCTGTTGAGAGGAGACGGACCAATGATGACTTCCCCACATTTGGTGCCCCAACAAGACACAAAGTTGGCATTTCTAGATCCACAACTGGCATGGCCCGCAAAATCTGGAAACCAAATAATTTGAAGATAAACCATTTTACATATTCCACTTGCAATAAAATGAGATTTCAAGGCTACAATTAATATTCAAGCTCAAAAGTCAACAAGAATATACTTTTTTTTATAGGAATAGTAGGCCTCATTAAAAATCCCCTTCATGATTAACGGAACTTGAAAATAGTTCCTTAATCAGCGGATGGAGGAAAAGAGTGCCTTAGGAATTCATTAACCTCAAAAAATTACAAAGTAATACAAAGTCTAATCTCCCTCCAGAGATAAAAAGCCAAAAAGAAACAGCCCTTAACAGAACATAATTCTCAACCAATACCAGCCTTAGCTAGAATATCCGCCTCTATATTGGTTGTCCTACTAACCCATCTAATAAGACCTTCATAAACACTAAGCTTTTGAATAATGTCCTTAACAACTTGAACATAAACGACAGGACAAGAAACAACATCCTTGACCCAACCAATTGCCACCTTACTATCACTCTCGATAATCAATCTCTCTTTAAATCTGTGGCGAATGGATTCATAATAATCTAACCCATTTAGGATAGCTTTCAATTCCATCAAAGTAGGAGGTCCCGGAACCAGCAGGCTCTTTGAAGGAGCCAAGAATCGAACCATAAATGTCTTTCAGAACACCACCTAAATCACTCCTCTTCCAATCACTAGAAGTAGCCGCATCCACATTAAGTTTAATAAAACCCTTTGGAGGAGGGGACCAAGGAAACTTAGTTGAAATCCGATTAGTATGAGACGAGCAAGAATCCACTAAGGACGGGTCGGCAATAAGAGCATCCTTGAAATAGATCTGAGTTTCCCTAGCTAGAAACCATGAAGCAAGCTTACACCTTGCTAGAAAGAATATTTCTGCTCGATCAAGCTTCCCTCCTTCAAACACTATATAATTCCTAGTTTTCCATATTGTCCATAAAACCACTCCAGGGATAAATGACCACATAAGAGAGTTGGTCTTCAAGTTAGGCCATGCTACTAGGAATTTTTTAGCATCTTTATGAAAAACATACTGAAAATTCCAATAGCCCATGAATTTAGTCCATATTGGCCAAACAACCGAACATAAAAAAAATAGATGAGATGAAGACTCTTCTTCTAGATTACAAAAAGGACACAGAATCATTTATGCCCTGAACACCTCTCTTAACCAGAGTTGTCTTCACTGCCAGCTTCTTTAAGATAACTTGCCAAAGAAAAGTCTCCACTCTTGGAGGCAGCAGGCCCCTCCAAACAATAGACTTCCAAAAATTAGCTTCCTCCGAATCGGAAATACCCGAATAATATAGATTGGCACATGATTTAACAGTGAAAACCCCTTCTCCAGTCTCCTTCCAAAATAGTCCATCAAAAGCATCAGCAGAAATAGAAAAATCTGAAATAACAGCCATCAAGTTTGACCATTGTTCAAATTCCCAGTCATTCAACTCCCTTCTCAACTGGACGTTCCAAAACCAGCCCCCAGAGCTGTAATCCCCAAACTGAAATAATCTTCCAGTTTTGTTCACTGCAATAGAGAATAGTCTAGGGAACATGACCATCAAATGATGATCCAATGCCCAATTGTCTTGCCAAAACCGAATATTCCTCCCATTGCCAATTTTATAGCTATAATTGCTTCTGATACTACAGCCCATCGAATCAGCTTTAAAATGATTATTCACCAAAGATCTCTATATCCAAGAAAATTTAGGAGAAACCTTACTGTCAAACTACATCAATGAAGAATCCATTTTATATTTAATGCAAAGCATTTCCCTACAAATCGCCTTCCTCTCAATAGCAAACCTCCAAGCCCACTTTTCCAATAGAGCCCTATTCATCATATTTATATTAGGAACTCCCAAGCCTCCTTCAATTTTTGGTTTACAAACGTCGGTCCAGCTTACCCAATGGATCTTTTTCCTCCCATCTCCTCCACCCCATAAAAAATTTGACATAATAGAGTTTAGGGTCTTGTATACTGAAGCTGGAACCTTAAACAATGACAAATAGTATATAGGAAGTGAACATAGGACTGATTTAATCAGAACCATCCTGCCCGCCAGTGACAAAGAAGAGCCTTTCCAGCCTGCTAACCTCTTATTGAAGCTTTGAACCACTGGATCCCACAGAATGTTAGAGTTCCTGTGTGGACCAAGTGGGAGTCCCAAATATTCTGAGGGAAAAGAACCCACTGAACATCCAATCGTAGCAGCCCAATCCTTAATTTCCTCTTCCTTTAAGTTCACCCCAAACAATTTGCACTTCTTCAAGTTCAACTGAAGTCCAGAAATAATCTCAAACACTCGAAGCACCCTCTTCACATTCAAGATCTATTTTTTCGACGCACCACAGAAAATTATAAGGTCGTCGGCAAATTGTAAATGAGTTAAATTAAAATTCCTCTCCTCATTTCTAATCATCAAACCCGAGAAGAGCCCCCCTGAAACAGCCTTAAGTATCAATAAATTCAAGAGTTCCCCAACTATATTAAACAACAACGGAGACAAGGAACAGCCTTGACGAAGACTCTCAGCCATTGGAATTTCCTCGGTTAGAACCCCATTCACCAAGACTGAAACAGTTGCTGAAGTGATGCACTTCGAAATCCACCCTACCCATCTAGAACCAAAGCCCATTTCCTTCATAATTCTGAACAAAATAGGCCAATCAAGAGTATCATATGCCTTCTTGAAATCAGCTTTAAAAACACATCCTTTTAAACCATTCTTCTTCCAAAAGTCAATCCCTTCATTGGTTATAAGGGAACAATTCAAGATTTGTCGACCGGGAATAAAAGCGAATTGACATGGACTGATCAAATCTGAAATGCAGCTCCTAAGTCTCCTTGACAGACATTTAGAGAGGATCTTATACAAACCACCAACTAAGCTAATAGGTCTAAAATCGTCCAAACCACCAATGTTTGAAATCTTTGGAATAAGAGTGATGAAAGTGTGATTTATTCCATGTTCCCATTCCTTCCCCAAATAAAAATTCTTAAAGAAGATCATAATATCTTCCTTAAGGACCTGCCAAAACCTCTTGAAAAAACCCAGATTAAAGCCATCAGGACCCGGAGCTTTGCTACTTCCACAAGACTTCACAACATCCCAAACTTCCTCCTCTGAAAATTCCTGCTCTAAGAACTGAATCTGCTCCAAAGAAATTCTGGAAAAATCCAGATTTAATTCATCAATTTCTAAAGTAGATCGATCATTGTAGATCTTAAATAAATAATCCTTAACAATGGCCTTAATTGCAATTGGGTCTTCAACTGTTTCTCCTCTAAAATTAAAGTGCCACCAGAGCATTCCTCTTCTTCCTAACCGTAGCACAGGTATGGAAGTATTTAGTGTTGCGATCCCCGTCTTCAATCCATTTAGATCTCGAATACTGAAACCAAATCTGCTCCTGGACCTTGTGCAGCTTCCACAATTCTGCTCTAAAATTATTCAACTCAGTTAATACCTCACTGTCGACAGCACCCTGCTTTTGTTGAATATCAACCTTTATCTTCGAAATTTTCTTCTCTAACTCAGAAATCAAGTCTCCTGGATACTTATCTCTGTTTCCAGACCACTTCTTTATGGCATGTTTGGCATTCCTTAAAAGACTAAAAGCACCTACCTTCTTCTGACTTTTCTTATAACTTGAATAGAAGAAATAACCATATCCTCAAAACCCTCCTCATCCATCAAATAGTTGAACATTCTAAACGGTTTTTGACCCCAATCCACTCCTTTATTCACAAGAATTATGGCATTGTGATCTGACAATGCTCTTGGTAGAAGAGACTGCAAAATGTCCGAAAATAACGCTAGAAATTGACTGTCAACCAAAAAACGATCCAATCTTACAAAAGTGGGATTCTCTTGGTTATTACACCAAGTGAACCTTTCCCCATTCATAGGAAGATCAATTAAGCTCATATGAAGAATGAACTCATTAAAGATCTCCATTGAGCTCCTACTTTGACCTCTGCCCATCTTCTCATCTTCTTGTAAATAGACATTGAAGTCCCCTCCCACACAAATGGGAAAATTTTGTCCACTAAGAAAACTGCTTAATTCTTCAAAAAAACCAGCTTTCTCTTCCTCCACTGCTGGACCGTATACATTGATGAAACCACAACTGAAGTTTTTATTCCGAAATTTACCAAAAGTAGCTATAAATCTCCTACTAATAAACTGACTCTCCAACTCAAAGATATTGTCATCCCAACAACACAGCAGGCCCCCCGCTAATCCAATTGAAGGAGATTCCAAAAGTCCTTTAAGCTTATTAATCCCACTTCTCCTAAAAAAAGACCTCTTAAATTTTTCAGTCTTGGTTTCTTGCAACCAAAGGAAAGTAGGATTTACGCTATGACTAAATTCTGAACAACCCTCTTTTTTTTCATTTTTCCCCAAACCCCTATCATTCCATGAACATATTACTAACTTTGTCATCTTCATAAAGGGAAAAAGGTACAAACAAAACCCTCAATCAACCAAACCTTGATTAATCCCAATCAAGCCTTTCTCTAGAGCTATGATTTTTTCCAAAAATGCTTCTTTCCCTTCCTTAAAAGATACTCCCAAAAGCTTACTAACCTCCCAAATTTCTACAGCTTTTTTCAATAAACTCGAGAAAGCCGAGGAGGATGTTGTATCAATGCTCACCTGGTCAAGGGCTTCTCGAAACAGGATCCTTCTAGCTCTCCTCTTCCTTCTAATTAACAAACCAGATTTGGATCTTAAGCATTTACCTTCAGAAAAGTAACCTTCAATCTCCCTCTCTACGGTCCCATCCCCAAGACCATTATCAATGCTAGGAAGAAGACTCCCATCAGCAATGAGCTCTGCTGATAAACAAAGCTATTTTGCATTACTGGAATCCACATCCAACTTCCTTTGCCCAACCTTGGTGCCATCTATTTCATTCGTGAAGTTCAACAAATCTCCAAACCAATATCTTCTTTCCCTCGACCTGCTATAGACCCTTTTGCAACTACTCAAACTTCTAGTTTCCAGCACACTCTCAGTTGAGACCTTTCTTCTAGAACGGTGTAATTGTCTCCCCCTTGAGGTGTTTCCTAAATTAGTTGTAACCGGTTCAACCAACCTTAAGCTTTCTTCTTCAGCCTCTATTTCTGCATTAACCAACTTCTCTGTAATTGGGCTCGTCTCCAATACTCTAAACGTTTTCCTGTTTTTTCCTACTAAATTAAGGTTCTCCACCAATTCCCCAAACTTATTAATTGTAAATGTTGGCCCAGAAACGAAACCCGAAAAATCTTTTGACCCAGACTGCCAGAGTCTTTAGAATGGGCCTGAGATCCATCAGTCGAATAATGTTGACTTCTAATCCCCAAACCTGCAAACTCACCAACTTTTAAGCTCCCAACATTTTGACTTTCTGGCAGACTACAATTAATACCTTTCCTATCTAAGGAAAGCCTTGCTAGCTGTCTGTTCTCACTAACTCCTCCAGAACCACTGAACACACCCTGATCAATCCAATTGTCCACTGACAGACAATTTTTCCTTGCTGCACATGCCTCACCTTCCCCATGATCTGACAACAACCTGTCTACATCCTCCTCAGACATAATTTCTTCAGAAAAGGCCTCACCGGAAACCTCCACCGGAAAATTACTGAAAAACAAACTTGAATACTCACTTGCTGATTCAATCTTGATACTTACTTTGAATGATCTTCCATAAGATCCAAGAGTGATCACCTCTGGAACATCAAAGGGGCTTTCCACCCTCAATAAAATTCTTGCCATTGTAGGGTCTTCTCTTTTCCTTGTACTCTCATGAATACCTACCACTTTGCCCCATCTACCAGCCAGCTTCTCGAAGAAAGATTCATTCCAGCATAACAAAGGAACCCCTATTAATTCTGCCATGCAGAAGGCTGTGGGAACTCCAGCCTCATTCAGTAAAGGTTCTACTTGTTCAAACCACTATTTTAAAACCTCTTCCTTTTTGCTCCATAAATCCAGCATCTCCTCATGGGAATTAAGAACTAAAACGCAGGAGTTCCAAACATAACCCCATCTAGCAATTTGAACATCATAGCCTTCCTTAAATAAGGCATTCCGAATGAACTCAACTTGAAAAAAGTATTTGATAATCCCTGTTAACGACCTCTTCACCCAATTGGCACTTTCTGATGGAATATGCATCTCCATAATATTTTTCTTGGCATTCCTCCTTTGGATATCCTCAGACTCATAAAATGCTTCTACTTCAATACAACAATTCCCGTTAATCAAATGGAATAAAAAAATGTGAGGCATTTCTTTGACAACTAGAACAAAACACTGAGAGGACATGACCTTAGACAAAAAGCAAACCAAACTACAAACATAAATATTATTACTCCAAAAACGCCAAAAAGAATGTCAGTTGGCAGCAATGAATTCCATGAATAGTCAATTAAACTAAGCAAAAATCAAGATTCTAGGTGTTTAAAGATTTGATCCACATAATACAGACAAATTCAATTCTCTGTCATTCTTGTTTGAAGTTCTTCCCTAATTACCTTAGTGAAAAAATAAGATGGTATGTTCTTAAAAAGAAAAATTAAAATTAAAACAAAAAACACCCCAGAAAACAACCCTAAAGTTAACGTTTGCATGATCTCTGAAGTAAACTGCCGAATGCCAGTAAAGAAATTAATTTTCTAGAAGGATGCATCTGTCGTTTACACCTCAGATGGTTTTACAGCTACAAAACAATACGAGTATACAAGCAAGCAACTCAGAAACACGTGATATAACATGCCAAATCTACATTCCAAGAAAAATTCAATATTGTGAAAAACACGTCAAAAAGTTCAAGGTTAAATATCAACAAACTTCAAATTATACTGTTATTAGATGTCCGAGTGAGATTAAGATCTCTTACTCACACTCGGTATAAATGTCTCATAATGCGGATTCATCCATACACTTACTTTCCATAAATGTCATCATATTTGGTGTGGTGAACACCTCATATCCACCTACAAATTGGTTATTAGATGTGTATTATGAGTTCTTGACAACAATGAAGAGCCTCAGCAACATAGATTGTTTAATTTTTAATTCTTGCTTATGCTAAGTGACATGTTTAATTTTTATTTCTTGCTTATGCTAAGTGACATTTTTAGTTCATACTTCACACTAAAATGGACATTCTTCAAATATTTTTAGTTCTATACTTTAGTTAATTCTTACTTGTGTTAAACTACATAATTTAAAAGATTTACAGTTACATACCTTTGCAATATACAATAAGTTATCAACAGCCTGTCCTTCACGTTTGAAGATTTCTTGAAGTTTCTCCAAACCCTACAGTAACAGAAAATACACAAAAGTAATAGCACTCCTGAACATTGATAAAAAGATCCATATGCAAAAAGCTAATTACTTACCTCATTCAATCGTTCCTCTGCTTCGCGCTTTGATAAAGACTGCAAGGAGATTTGTATAGATAATTTACATTTTCAAACAGACTTACAATTTGTACCATAAACCATATAAATATATGTGTGTGTGTGGCGAGGGGGAGATATAATCCAATATACAAATACCAGGGGTCAAAAGCTCCGCACATGAGGCATATATGCTTGCCACATTTTCAATTAACAGTATGTTCTTAATAGAGTATTGAGCATTGACTTCCTTCCTTAGAGTTAAAATGACTCATGGAAAGTATTAAACTCAGTTGAAGAGTATTTTAATTCAGTTGTAAGGTATAGATCTATAATCCATATATAAATTACATGGTCCTTCAATTAGATTTGAAAGAAACATTGTTCCTTTGCCTCTTCATTTTTTTAACAGGCATACTGAACACATCATACAGAACAGGGGATTAAGGGTTCGAGTAAGACACAGAAAATATATGGAAAAGCATAATGAAAATGTAACACATCCATGCCCCACCACTAACCAAGTCAAAGCAACGTGAGACAGAAAAGAAAAAAATCACACGTAATTTCCAAAGACATTCGATAAAAATTGAAAACCTCAACAAACACAAGCCTCCAACCAAGGTCTAATTTTCAATACTTTTTTTTGCGGTACCGTATATCATAGACTATTCATTATTAAGCAAAAATAGTTTAAATTTGTAGTTCAATGAAACTGAACATCAAATACAGGGGATCTTTTAAAAAAAACCCTGCCATATATGCTTAATTGGTCTTTAAAATAGTTTCAAGGGAAGACAACCTGGGCACAGAGAGAAGCATGTTCCTTTCCAACAGATACCACCTTCTTCCTAAGAGCATCAACCTTTTTCAAAACCTGTGAGACAATAATTATGTTTTAGTAAGACATTGAAAGAATGGAAGGGTGAATGAACCTTATATATATAATAATAGCATAAAACATCCAATGGTAACACAATAATTATGTTTAAATATGGCAATGAAAGAAATAGAGCCAGGTAAATAAACCTTCCACATACTGTAATAAAACTCACAGGGATGTCATTTTGCTTAGTTTTAGGTATTCCACCGTGACAGCACTAAAGTTAAAGTTTTTATTTCTGAAAGCCACTTATTTTTCTTATAGATGAACGTATAAAAAGAATCACGGGCAATTGAGTACCTCTTCATAATGTCCAGCTCCAAATGTCAACTCAATAAGAGATCGTTCATAAGGATGCAAATAGATTCTTTTGGGGAAATTTTCTAAGTACCCTCTCAATGGAATTGCCAATTCCTGAAGATAAAGTAAATAAGGAACTGTTAAAATTCAAGCAGTATATTCATTAGTACGAGGTACAAGCTTTCCTTTATTATAAAAATAGCTCACTGGAATAAGATCATACTTTCATCAGTGCATCAAGTTGCTTTGCACCTCTATTTCTCTCTCTCTTTGCTATATTGGCAATGCCTAAGTAGGAAACCAAATGTCATGCTAGACCAATAGTTTGACAAGTTGCAACTAAATATAACATGAGCGAGTGAATTCATTCAAATATATATTTCTCTGGTTCTTCATTTGTCTTGAAGTACTCATGAAAAACACATGGATATGGGGATATAACCTCCAAGACTCCTCCAAATACATGGAAAACATATAAAAAATCTGGCCATGCCAATGTCAGACACATGCTCGATTCAGGGACTCACACCTAAGTCCGAGTAACATAGTATTCAATCACCTTTCGTGGGCAAGACCCTCTTTGCCTTCCTCAATGCAGATTGCAAAATATCAACTGATGGCATCACCATTGGCAGCTTCTGAAATGCACCAATGCTTTCCACTTTTTCTGATGGTTGATCCTAAGAATCAAATATAAAGCCATAAAAAATCCATTTTTTCACCAGGATGAATAATCATATTGTTAATGTATTTGATTCATAGTCATGACTCATGAGAACAAACATATATCATTAAGACAAGACCCACTGCATCATCTCAGAGTAAAAACATGGACTATGTCATTTCAAACAGAAGTCTATGTACAGGATGCGTATTGGTCATATAGATGAAAAAATCATTGAACATTCGGTCACTTAGACTATGAAACTTGGTGTTTAGGGCGTGTTTGGTTCAAGGTTTGTGGGATTACCGGGGGAATGGAATCTTCATTCCCCCATTTGATTGGCCAGTAATCCTATTCCCGGTAATCTTTTATTCCCAACAGTAGATTTTTTTGGGTATATTACCGGGAATGTGATTACCCCCTTCCCATAGGTATTGTTGGATTACCGGCATTTTGGACTAAAATGCCTTTAAATTTTTTTTTCAAAAATATTTTTCTTCTGTCGTTGAATAATAAAAATTTTACGAAAATTAAATTACAAATTTCTCCTTAAACTATTTTAGATTTACAAAAAAATCTATAATTAAAATTTTATATGAAATTCAGAGGTTAAAATAAAATTTTACCCTTTCATTAAACCTATTTATCTTTTCAATTTTGTAAAAAAAAATTATATAAATTTATTATAGTAATATTATAGTAGAATTCAACTTGTTAAAAAAACAAATATATAATAAGGACAATTTGGTAAAATATACATTCTAATAATATTTTATTCCTTTAACCAAACATTGTAATCTTACATTCCTGCTAAACCAACCAAACACAAAATACAACATTCCCAGTAATCCTATTTCTTGGTAATCTTTTATTCCCACTGGTAATCTTAAATTCCGTGAACCAAACAACCTTAGTGTCATATCCGATGGTCACATGACAAAATAATGCCTAGTCTTAAAGAAATTCCAATAACATCCATGAATATACATAGTTGGTTTTAAACTAGAAGACCCTATTATTAATAAATCAGTCAAAGGTTCAACAATATATGAACATTCAACACAGTATCTTGCCTAAAAACTTTCCAACAATACAGCACAGGAATTTAGTAGCTTAAGGGGACAAAAACTACCGTGTGTTTAGATGGTTTAGTTTGGGGAGTTGATAAATAGCTTGCTTTGACGACCTCACGGGTGAAAGTCTGAACGTTTCTACAGAAGCACAAGGTGTTGTGCTTTATTGGTCTCTGCATCGGGTAGCAGCCTAAATTTGAAGAGCAAAGATGGGAACATAAGAAAGTAATTAATCATTAAACAGATAAAAACAAAAAGGAAGCTTATTAACCTCTTGAGAACCGGAAAGTTGTTGAAAGAAATCTGGTACAAGGTATCTGGCATGACTCAAGTAGACTAAAGGCACCTCTCATTCCCCACTACCACAGGAGAAGCCAATCTCAACAAACCCCAAAGTTACAAGGGCCGTGTAACAAGCAATAGAAGCCTGAAATTTCCATTTTCAAGTTCAAGATAAAGAAATTTTAAACTACAAGATTAGATAAAACTCACAGTCACGCACAGATATCTCAGAGACAGGGACCATAGTTTAGTTGCTTACAGTTCCCTAATACTTGCACGCGCTACGACTGCGGCAATTGTCAGCTACAGAGAGATAAGGGGAGTGGGTTCCGTTGAGTGTGCGCTTTTCTTTCTTTCTTTCTGCTGGAGAGCCTTTTTTTTTTTCTGCTTTCCCTTTCCTTATGGGAACTGAATGTTATGGGCCTAATACTAATTGGACCGAGCCTGTGCGTTAAACAAACAGAGTTAAATTTGAGTATTGTTGAATTTAATACTACTCGAAAAATATATAATTGAGTTCGATTCAACTCGAAAATTCATGAGTTTAAAATTGTTAAGTTCGAATCGAACTTGAAATAAAAAACTGAACCTACACTCAAGCCCAAAAAAACTTAAACTCGAAATATTCTCAGACTTAACTCTATTAAAATTCAAACTCGAACTTGAACCTAAACCTAGATGTATCAAAGTTTCATATTATATTTTTAAAAAATCAATGTAATGTTAATATAATTAATAATTTACTTTAAAAAAAAACTTAAAAAATTAATGTATTATAGTTTTTCGAGTTGCTTGCAAGTTTTTCAAATCGAATATTAAGTAGATCGTAAAGACTCATTAAGAATTTGATGCAAGAGTTGACCAAATTTTGACCTTATCGACCTCGAATAGCTAATAATTTATCTCGTCTCATTTACGGTCCTAATTATATCAATTAGAGCTAGGATTAATGATGTTGTGAAAGAAAATGGTCTTCAGTGAACATACAATCAAATCGAATTATATCGAGTTTAAATATTTTTTTAAAAATGGTTCCAGTAGACTCTTGTAAAACAGAATCCGCCATGGTACATGAAAACAAATTAAAATTGGAAACTGTCCATATAACTAAATTTGACTCGGAATTAAATTGGTTAATATTTATAGTTTTTGAATTATTTAAAATTGAATTTTTTTAATTTATTTAAAAATTGATTTTATTTTTCTATTTGTAAACTATTAAATTATTATTTATTTTTAAATCCAAAATTATAAAAAATGAATTTAAAAATTATAGTCTACTGTTAATATCTCAATCGCTAAAATCTGACTCTAAATTCACTAAAATTTGAACACCCAAATATTCTTTTTTTATTTCGTAATACATAACTAAATTCACACACGCAATATATATATATATATATATGTATAGTAAATATTCATAAATTTTATTTATATAATGGATAAATCCAGAATTTTAGGTTAAGATACGAACTTTTAAAATTTTAAGAGATGACGAACTTATAAAATTTCAGGGAATAATAGATTTTCAATAGAAAATACATTAAAAAATTTAAATTATATGATAATTTTAAATTTTTAGGGGATGACTACTTTTACCCGCACCCTTCAATCTATCCAGGTTTAAATCGATTAATATCCCTAAATTTCAACATAATTCTTTATAGTTGCACAAACGTTATATGTTTTAATAACTATTGTAGTTGTTCAATGTCGTAATTAAAAATGTAATGTAATTAATTATAATAATTTTTTAAAGTTTGTACTCATTTTAAATTATAGTCAGTCATCCAAGTTTTTATAATTAGATTTTGCGGTGATACATGCATCATATGTGCCACATTAAAGGCAGATGATTTTTTTCCCACTTGACTCGATCACACGAGCTAAATCCAAATTGCTGAAGGATAAATTCCAAATTGAAGATTGAAGGGTTTGAGGGATGAAATCCACATTTCCTTCTCTCACGCCTACTTGAATCACCATAATTTAACTTGAAGATGATTCGAGCCCAAATGCCTACTTAACCAGAGATAGACGTGAAAACAACTTTAAAACCCCTTAATGGATCATATTATAGTGTTAGCTCGTTACTAAATTATAAAGTATGAATTAACATCTTTAAAGACACGATTAGGATTTAAATTATGTTTAGTTAATATGTTAGCCCAGTATTATGTAATAAAGTTTGGGCCTTTTTTTTACTTTTAAGCATAGTTACAAAATAAGGTTAGAAAGGTAATTTAGGTTCCTTGTCAGTCTTGTGTCGTACACTCTCTTTGATTCATCATCTTGCCACCAACTAAAAAGCATCCAGGCTCTCCATATCCAATAATCTAGGATCATGTCTTGTTTGAAATTCCTTGTTTCTATCACAACCATCACATTGGATCATCATCAAAAGACCACATTGCTTGCCACCCGCTCCAATGAATCCTACAAGTTGATTTTTTTTTATTATTCATTAATTGCTTAGAATTGTGGAACTCATCTCCTATATAAAGAAGGTGTCACCCATCGTTATAAAGTATATTTTTCTTGATAAATAAATACGACGTAAGTATGTTTTTGCAAGTGTTGATTGTCTTGTGCATCCGAAGCTTTCTTCATCATGAAGTTCTGCAAGTTCAACATGAGAGAGATTAATAGAAGGCACACTTGAATTGATGTTGCCAAGTATGCTTCTGAATTGTCCCGATCTAGAATTCAAGTAAGTTGTATCATTGATACACTTGTTTGAAGATGAAGAAAGAAAGTTAAGGATTGAATAGAGTTGCATGGTAGTAGGCGTATAGGTGTATTGGATAGCTTAGGATAATAGGCGGCTTAAGGATAAGAAATAGGATGAAAGACCCTATATCTTTAGGGCTTTATAAGGGAAGGTGGTGTGATTATGATGATATAAGGATGGTTAAGGAAATTGTTGGAAAATTTGAATGAATTAATGTTATTTATAACAAATTAATTATAAGTCATGTCACTTGGTGAATGAACTTAAATTTTTTAGTTTAAAGTTACATCCATTCAATCATACCTATTCAATAATTCTCTTCATGAAAAGATTAAATCCTTTCTTGAAAAGGTTAAACCCTTTCATCAAAAGGAGAAGTCTTTTAATCAAAATGTTAAGTCCTTTCATCGAAAGGTCTTAACCTCTCAATCAATTTCCTCTCCCTATATATAAGCTAGTTTAGGCACAATTAGACACAAGTTATAAGACACAACACAACACAAGTTACAATGCACAAGTTTAGAACTTTGGAATAGAAAAACACTTAGAAAATTCCTTCCAATTTTGTTCTTTTCGGTGATAGAGAAAAACATGATTGTGTTCGCATGATCACTATGGTTGTGCTTACTATTTTGATCGTTTGTTGTTGTATCCTGGGAGACCGACGTCCAACGTTACTCAAAGCACCTAGGAGATGACGAATATGTCTTAAGGAAACTATTCATACATGCCTCAACAAAATTCTTCTTCGATTTATGTTACTCTACTCATCTGATTCAATGACTAAATTTAAGTAAACCAATTTCTTGCCTCTACTTTAAGTTTTATTTATTTTGTTTCGTTCGATTATATATAATAATATTTATTATTATTATTATTATTATTATCTCGGATTAACTTTTTTCTAACAAATTTAAGACAGATTTCTTTTTTATTTTTTAATTCGAAACAAGATTCTTTGAATTTAATCCTACTCGTGTACGAACAAAGTATCAAACAGACGCAAAATAAATATTGGTGGCTATTTGCAGGTTTGAATGGAAACAGTGAGACATTCTTTACAAAACTAACGTGTTGTTTGTTTCTTTGCTCTTAGTGATGTGATTTTTTTTATTGCTCCTTACTTTTGATGTTAGATATGTTGATCATGGAAATTTGTATTCACCATGCTTTAACTTTGCTAATGGTGGTTGTACCCTTTGGAGCATTACGAGTCTTTTCAATAACAAAGGAAATTTACAATTCATCTGAAATTGTTTGGAAACACAATTTCAGTAGAGGATACTTCTATGTGATTTAGTCCTACTTACAAACATTCACGTGATGCTTACCATGAAAGGATTCACTTGGTGTCTAAGACAAGAATGTGGTTCCAGAGTGTTTGCTGCTTTGGAATTTTGAGAATTGATAATTCAGTCCAAATTGGTTGAAGACTTAATTCATTTGAATTGTTTTCTTTAGTATACAAGTCAAATAACTGGAACAAGCATCAAGGTACGTAGAATATTATATTTTCTTTGGAAATGTTTAGTTTGTGTGGTATAATAATTTGCAGGATGTCTTGTTTCTTACTTGGACCTTCACAAACTTGATTTGGTTGTGGCAATTTGATTATCAACATGTCATTGGGAATTACCAAATTGAGAAGAAAAACGAAAGAGGCGTAATTATATTTATGAAACTTTTCTAATGTTTGGTGTAAGTGCTAGCCTTCAATGTTTGGCATGCGTACACTGCACCTTAACCCATAAATTGTTGGTTCAAGTTTGATTGTCAACGATGATAAGAAGGTTTAAGGTCCACTAACCTTTATTGATGTTGAATTTTATAAATCTTTGGTGCATGTGTTGTAACACCCCAATCCCGTACCCGACCCGGATACGTGTCTGAGATGTCACATTGCCTTCTCAAAACATTTACTTTTACAAAATACCTAAGATTCAGTTTGATATTTCTAATAAAACCATTTACTTTCTATGATATAAAACATATGGTTTTACAAAACTGATCAGAGCATATCTAATACAAATCTTTTAACTACATGCCAACTAGATTCTATATAACAAAATACATATTATTCATTTAGGTTCTGATCTGACCTTCGGTAAGGAGAAACTAACATGTCTTACTCCTCTTGGCTTCTCTTCCTGTTTTCCTGAACCTACGTGTGAAACACTCACACGCTAAGTCATAGATTTAGTGAGACATATAAATACATATGTAAATTATCAAATGCATGTACATATCATGTAATACAACATCATACTTGTATACATACTTTTTCATGTAACAATTACATACAAACACGCATGTCATCATTTATATTTTCTCATACTCTTATATGATTATCATTTCTATCTCTTATCTCTTGTTCATATGATCTCTTATCTTCATATTCTATATCTTATAACATGTTCTTACATCATCATATGAGTCATTGATATTCATTCATATATATACATTAACATATATTCATGTACATCACATAAAAAATGTCATAACCCATAACACACATTCTTTCCTGTAACATATACACACATTCACATATATCATTATATAAAACATATAGCACATTTCTCATTACAACTCACAT